CTATGTATGCATCTGCGGCTTCGATATTGAACTTCGTAGGAGGAGGCAACACGCTTTCAGCCATCCTCGTCGCCAATGTAGTGATGTTGTCCTCCTTTATTCACATGTGCCTACACTTTATATACTAACTGATTTACATAAATTATACATAATGAATACCTAATACACTACAGCCCGCGTGCAGGCCCAGGGGAACTGATAGTGGGCCTGCAAGCAAGGCCCGGTATTTTGTACTTTCCGTGTTCGCCCACGAACGCGGCATTCTGATTGGCTGTTTGCTGTTGGATTCTATAATTAGGTCAGTGATTCATCACAAAGGCTCTCGATAAGCTCAAAATTCGAAAATTGATCACTTTTTTCGATTATAAATGGAACAAGAACAGACTGTTTATTGTTTACTTGAAAGAAGAGATGTTTTTGCCGTTATGCCAATGGGGATTGCTTGTCGTGAGGTGTTGGAATAGCAACATTACGACTGGGGTAAACTATAGTAACCTTTACTCGAGTTTCATTAATTTCAGACTTGATACGTTATATGTTTCTCAAGAAAATTATCTTTTGGTTGATGTTGAGATGCAGTTGCATGTAAGTCTATTCGAAACACTTTGCGATTTACAAGGCTTCGCTGAGAGAGCGAAACAGAAGACGGTATTAAATTGTCGTTTGAAACGAAACGATCTGGACTCTGAACGCTCTCTTCTTTTGTAGAGTTCTTTACCAAATGAAATAACTGAAATAAATTTCGTACTTTCCGCCGCCAACAAGAATTGCACACACGATCTGATGAGACAATTTATTTATAACAATGGCGACAGCGAAGCACACATTATAAACGCTAATGTACAGTAGTCGCACGACTTCCCTCACGATTTGAAGTTTGAGACTGGTTTTCTGTTGAAATTCGTCCTAATTTGCCTGTTCCGATTTTAGTTGAAAATGAGCACTTGCAAATTTGGCAATTACTGACTGCGTTGCTTGCTTTTTTGGAGTTAAAACGCAGCCATTTACACATTGTTTATTAGTGTTCTGAATAAGCAGAGAAAACCCGGCAACATTTTAATGCGAGTTTGTTTGTTAATATTTGAGTGCTGTCATTGGTTCTTTTTTGACAATTGACGCGCGAATGGGGCGTGTTATGAAAAGGGGCGTCTTACAAAATACCGGGCCTTGCTTGCAGGCCCACTATCAGTTCCCTTGGGCCTGCACGCGGGCTACTCAGTGAACGATTCGCTGTGTCAACGAACTACAATTGTCTCGAACATTTTTATGTATATTATTAACACCAACATACTAATACGCAATACTATGTAAAGTCATGCTAATAAAGTCACTTGTTACTGTTACTACTTCCTACAGAAATAAAATTGGGAATCGAAATTAAGGAGGGAGGGAAACGATACGTATAGCAAATTTTGGAACCAGAGCAGTTGTACGATATAGGCCAAGGCAAAGGAGGTAAAACAAGGGCGAAAGGGGGTAAAACAAGGTTGCCTGCAAATGAGGCTACGTTCCGCTATCACAGTTCTT